AAAAAACGTCCGCGGCTATTCACACGATGTGCAGCGGCACTGCGCATTGTGTGAAAGTTCGATATAAGAGCGACAAAGTGACGATTATAGAACGACAGAGCGACGACTATATAGAGCGACAGAGAGGACTAATGAAGCGCAAGAGTGGGGGAAGTTATCCGTCGCCACTTTTTGCCTCACCCCCACTACCGCTATTGGCACGAGTTGATCCTCCTTAAGCCCATGGCACATACAAAAATGTAAGGCTGTAAGCATAATCAGTAAGCGAATTGGCCAATCACGATAGAGACCGTAAGGCCAGTAGCGAATCCAATCTTACGATTTCTTTACTGCTTACGTATTACGGCCTTACGTTTTTGTATGTGCCATGGGCTTTAGGGCTCTGGCACACAAAAAACTTAAGGCAGTAAGACATAAGCAGTAAGGAAATCAACATGTTGGATTCGCTACTGCTTATGTTATAGCCTTATGGACTCTACTGTGATTGGTCAATTCTCTTACTGCTTACATTTTACTGCTTAAGTTTTTTTGTGTGCCATGGCCCTTAGTTCTAGTCTTCTTGGTAGACCCCGTATAACAGTAGACTGGGTAGACCACAAACCCACACACACGTTCTAGCCTAGAACTTCTAGGTGGGTAAGGTAGAAGTGACAGTACCGGTGGTGGAAGCTGTGGAAGGATCAAGGAATCCGTCCACTGGCGCCTCTATGTACATAAATGTATCTTGAACTACATAGCCATTTCTACGAACATTTTCAATGGGTAAAATAAGAGAGAAACTTGAGAGAGGACATGAGGGCCTTTTTTCTGTAACTGCAAAATGCCCCCGTGCACTACTGCTCTCTGAAGAAGTGGATGTTTTAACTACACAACAATATACATTTTTTTACTCCTGATGGAGTCATGGAGATGACTCCTTTTGCCGCTTCCCGAAGTTTTGACATTTAAATTCCAGACACCCTGTATAACTATAGAGACTAGCTTAGAGTTTTATGATTTAATATTGATTATATCATAAAAAATTTGCAAATTTTTATATAAATTCTAAAGTTTTTATTAAATTTTAGAGTTAAGATTTATTGATTAATATCGAAATTTTTATAAAATCTAAAATATAAAAGATATTTCTTTCAGCCACGTCTTTACACATTAAGTCAAGAACTTACAAAAACTTTTCTCAAATGATTTTAATAATGTCTAAAATTTTAAATAGTTGTACATTGTTTTAGAGAAACTTTATTACATTTTTAAACTTAATAAAAAATAGACAAGTTATTTACAATAATACATATATCTACATACTTCTAATCCAAGCTCTTTCGAGTACAATAGAACCTTTTCATAAAATATTATTCCTAATTCTTCGTCCCATTTATTCTTCTTCCCATTTTGTTTCCCACTATTTCATTATTATGTCTTTCTCACCGCTTCTACTTTTATTATTCTAGTTTTTCTACCAAAATTCGTTTGTTGGCATCTTCCACACTACCTATTTCTTTAACAGACTTTTTTGAGTTGGAAAATGTCTTCGATTCTATTCATCATTCGATGTAAAGATAAAATACTCGCTCATTCTGCTAAGAGACTCTTCTATGACATAACTTCTCATTGCTAATAATCTTCAATATACTCTTCATATATGACATTCAAGTCATATTCGTCATTCGAATTCCACATAAGAATCTTGCTGCGTCATACTGAAAGTCGAACTCCAGTAAAGTTCTTCATTCTTCATTGTGCTTATCATTACAATCCTCGATACAACAATTTTATCTGTCAGAAGCTGTTTCATCCATTTCTTCATTTTGGCATGGACGATGCAAGCCTACTCTCGAATACCTGATAGGAAGAACAGGTAATAAATATCTACAACGAGTACAAAGCATTTTAATATGATTGCTGACAGAAGATCTTAATAATTTCGAAGAAAGACTACTAAAGCTATTTGCAAAAGTTTTACAATTATCGTGAAGATTATATTTCTATCAAAAAAATGCAATTTGAATAATCAATGTTAAAAATTGAAAATAAGGAATTAGTTTCCGAATTAAAACTTATTTTATTATTATTATTGAGATGTACCATTTATAACTAGACCACGTTCGGTGGACTACGAATAGAATGTTAATACAGATGTATGATTTCCGCGGACTAAAATCGTAGGTGGCATATCCTTCGTAAGTGTCTCCAACCAGGCCATGTATAATGGTGCCGATACTGCACCCTTTCTTGGCATTGGTAAAGACCTTTAAATTAAAAAAGTATGCTTAAGAAATTATTAATAATAGTGTAGCGAGGATAAAATTAATTGTAAATTGTAATGAAGAAAGTAACGTTAGAAATATAATATGAGTTACGTTCATATAAATAATTGATATATAGTACCTATCATAAATTTGGAAACATTTGCGATTTTCTCGCATTTTACAAAAACTTAAGTATTTCGGTGAAAAAAATCGTACAGAAATTTTGAAAAATGCATTTTGTAAAAAACGACAAAATCGCAAGCATTCCTGTTTATGAACGATACTGATGTGTATGTATAAATATGTTTGACTATTATAAAAATTGTTTTTGTAGACATATCTTCAAGAATATTTAAATATATATATATAGATTGATATTTCTTCATTCTTGTACTAAATACTATTTTTTTTATATTAAAGAAAGAAATATAATTAAAACTAAAGAATTATTATAAATATAATAGACACGTACATCAACATACATTTATGTTCTGTAATAAGGATTACTAAAATACTTAATATAAATTATTATACATACATAACTACTAAAGTAGATTTACTCGAATTTTCCAATAATAATTCTCGTAATCGCAATTGTCGATGCGTTTTCTCTCGTAGAGTCTGAAGCTCGTTATCAGTAATATAGCATTCTAAAAATAATAATTATTTATATTGAATATTAAATGCATATTTGATGATGTCGCTAAAACGAAAATTATGACAATAACTTACCACCATTTATGGAAGAAGAATCGTTTATTCGAAAATCGGATATTAATTTGTCAAAGAAAATCCGTGTCTCCTCTTTTAATTCGACGCCAATGTCATCTACTATCTTCAAGCTACTATAGTTAATTCGTGCCTTGTTCATTATTTCAATCATTCTGCAAGATAATTAATGATATCTAATCTTATATCAAAAAACTTCATTTACATTTTAATAAAATTTTTTGCTCATAATAATTTTATTGATAAATTGTTCGTATATATGAAGCACTTTATATTTTTATTATTTATTTATTTATACTTACTCTTTTTCTTGTGCGCTAATATCATGCTTATGGTTAGTTAGAGCAAATATTCTCATTTTGCAATGCTTCCAATTTGAGCGTGTGCTGATTATATACGGTAGGAGAACCGTTAAACCTGTCAAATAATAACTTCTGCCACTTACAAATGAGCCGAAAATTCCAGAAAATTTAATTTATACGGATGATTGAGGTATGTCTATATGAATTCAATCGACATACCACAATCATCCGCTTATTTTTTTAAGTTACCTCCATCATCATATAGCCACCACACATCAATTGTTCCTTTCTTGTATTTCTGTTGGAAAATTGTTACATTTTCTGGTATAGAAGCCATTCCGCCGTTTCGTCTTTCGCTAAAATTGAAGATCAATTATTAACAATAAACAAAACATAACCGCTGAATTTTCAAATTTTATTGAAAAAAACTTTATTTTGAAACTGTAAAATAAATCTTTTCTTGGCGAACATAAGGTTTAATAGCATAAATCAAATAGTATAATATAAATAAATCGGAGAGCATAAATTTCTTAATTTCTTAGTTAATCTTAAGTCACTTTAACAAAAACCCGATTTAAGCTTTAGTTAATAAAATATGTAATATTACAAATTGGAAACAAGCAAATTAAAAAAAATATGTGTTTATAAATTTTTGTAAATTAATTCTAAGTTTGACGAAAAAAATATTCGATATTATTAGAACTATTTTATTGTTTTACTTACAACAATTTATCAACAGTATGTTTTCTCTTTTGTTTTATATTATCGTGAGCTTTCCAATTTATCGTTGAATATCCAATCACAGGTGTCGTGTCAGGTGTGACAAATGAAGTACCTATAAAATGATATTAAATTGAAATGCAGGAAACAAGTATAATGAAAAATTGATCGCATTTAAAAAATTATATTTCTATGATTTATTTACGACAGAACTAATTTCTGTTTACAAGATATATTCTTTTTGCTTATAAATATTTGCAAGGAATGAAATAGCTACTCGCTTTAAATACAATTTTGTGCATAATTATAAATAATGATCAATCATAAATATTGATCCATAAATATAAATATTAACCATAATAATAAATATTGAAATGATATAACCCAGCAAATACAAAGTTACATATAACACAGTGTTATATTATAGTTATATTGTTGAGTGGGAAATTATAATTAACAGGTACGTTATATGTAACTTTGTGTTTGCTGAGAATCATTTTCTATTTTAATTTAATATCAATTTTTACCTATCGTCGGTACGCTTTGTACCCTCGGAATCTGCGTACTCATGGAGAGATTGCTATCAGCGTGCATTAAAGTATTACCCGCTAAATTATAACTACTCTGTACGAGACCTCCATGATCATCCTCTCCGTTTGTGTCTTCTCCATTTGTTATGCTGGAGCAATCCAAACCTTCAGCAATTCTCAAGATTGCTACAGCCAATTTATTATCGAAAGCATTGCTAAAAAGAAAACGAATGTTAAATTCTTGAAATGTGTATTTCAATGTGTATTTCTTGAAATGTGTATTTATCTCATCATTAATTTTCCATTTTGAAATAATTCTGAAGCAAGTAGTCAATTAACTTACTGAAGAATATTAAAATATTCCTGCAAATCTTTATGATTACACATCGACCAATGGGTCTTATAACCCATGAGGACTACATTGGGAGCCAATTTACCGATCCCGGTTGCCTGCATCAATGCAGCAGCACCTCGTTCCAGATTCAAGTCATCCACTAAGTGGTAAAATGATTTTATACGTTGTTGTTGTAGCCAGAAGGAACCATTATTTAGGCGTACGGAGCGTAGTCGATACGATAGTCGTGTCTGAAATTATGTTGAAAGTTTAACGTCACAATTTTATAACGTAAACGATTATAAATAAACATAAAGTTATATTGCTAAATCGATATAATACCGGAAAAACTTCGCCGGCAATCAGCAACGAATTATTCTTTGTGATGAGATTCGCTAAGTGTATTAATGCGGGTCTTGCAGCAGGCGGGCCAGTAAGTGCTAAAATTTTAGGAGCATAATTCTTCACGTGTTCGTCAATGGAGTTCAACCTAGAAGTTTTCATAAATTTTAGATTGAAAACTTCACTTCGAATTAAAGTACCCATACAGCACAGAACATGCAGCAATATCGTTGCAATAACGCTACAGTATTGCTGCAACTTTTGTGCTGTAAGGGTATAAATTGAAATAAATAAAATAATATTAGTACTTCCAAGAATAAAAATTAGATAACAATACTAAATAGGCATTTGTATTAAATTACGATACTTAGATAGATATTAATTTAAACATTCTATAATCCTAAGCAAGGAATCCAATTAATGCTCCAGACGAAATGATCAATGCACTCCAATAATAGCAAATATTACACTCAAATATACGACATAATTATCCATATGAATGTATGCCAGTATTTAACGAATGTGCGTAAAGTTGACCACGTCGTCTGGAGTCGTTCTAAGAGGAATACAATCAGAAATGTAAACAGAGAGAGAGAGAGAGAGAGAGAGAAGAAATTATTTTTTTAAATAATACCTGTAAACGATGGAAATTGCAGTCTTAAAAGTTTGCGCCTGCGTACTGCTGCCCCAGTTTACATCTGGTTTACGGTAAACTACTATTAGATATAGCGCGAAGATAATGACGAAAGTAACGAGTGAAGTCACCCAATCGATAAGGAACATAATTGCCACGCAAAGAATAAAACCCATCAAAGACAGCCAAGTATTGTAGTACTATAAAAAGAAGAAATTAATGACGTGCGCGTATATTTTTAACTCTATTGAAAAGATGCTTAAAAGGTCTAATCTTTTCTCTTGAAATTCTTTAATTTTTAACAGGTATTTATATATATATGTCATCAGTTTTTTTAAATAAATAAAGAATAATTATATAATTTTAAAACATAAGGAATGAAGTATGTGGTAAAACAAATAAAAAAATAGTATAATTAAAAGTCTTTCATTCCTCTTTTTTAATTATAATAATTTTTTTTTCAAACATGCAATGCATACACGCGAAAAAAGAGATTCCAAAATATTAAATAGTATTGAAGATTAAGTGTCTTTAGAAAGCATCGTTTTCTTTACTTTTGTATTATTTATAATTAAGAAAATTTCTAATTTACTTTAAAACTAGGCCGCCACCCGAGAGGTCGAATCAATGCTGCGTGAAAAGTGCAGAAGTTGATTAAAGCGTATGACGCTAAATAGAAGTTCGAGATGAGCGGTGCGACTACGTTGAGATTGGCTGAAAGGGAAACGATTAAGAGTTTCTAGGAAAGAAAATTAACGATAATAGAAATTCGATATCTGCCAATGAGTTCGTATTTCGGAACAAATACTTTACCGATTAAGAGAAAGAGTGCCGCAACGACAAATGTGAGAACATATCCTCTATAGGGCTCCCCGGACTTTCCATATCTCTTGCTGAAGTAAATCAACCCGGGATAAATTCGATCTTGACCCAGAGCCTGAATAAGTCTCGGTACTGATAATAAATTGGTCAACGCTGTCGACAAAGTAGCTGCGAAGCAGCCTGCATAAATTAGAGGACCCCATAATGACATTAACTGCATGACCTGAAAAAAATATTTTCTATAAATTGCATAGTTAATAATTTGAATTATTAAATAAAAATATTTAATAATTATTATTTTTTTACAATTTTTTTTAAATTTGGAAGTAATTTTTTTTAAGTGTAAACAATTTAAAATTACTAAATATTAAATTCATTCTGTTTACAAAATAAGATAATTTCTTTAATAGTTTTATCTCATATTGCATATTTTTGTAAAGTACATTAGTTGAAGAATTCAAAAAAACATTGTAAGTTTTATTATTTATTCATGCTTTTTGAAATTAATTTGGGAATAAATTTAGATCAATTCTTAATTTAATATTTTTACTGCAAAAAATAACGCATTTCAGCTCTGAGACTATTGTTTAAAATTAAATAATAAAAAATGTGATAATTATAAAATGCATTGTATCTTTAATAATATTAATTATTTTTTAAATATTAACATACTGAATAACTATTTTGCAGTCCGTACGTGCAGTTAAACCCAGGAATACAATCCACAACAGTACTGTTCACAAAACCACCTGCATCTCTAGCAGCCGCGGCGCCAGCAAAAAAGACGAAAGTTGCATAACTAAACATGGATATCAACAGAGCGAGAAGAGTCCCGATAGGTATGCTGCTCGCTGGATCCTTCAAATCACCGGATATGTTAGCGCCTGCTTGAATCCCGGTGACCGATGGGAAGAAGATGGAAAACACCGAGAAGAAAGTTTGATTGTTATTCTCAGAGTATCGATAATCTGATCCGAGATTAGCCATAAATACGTCCGCTAAAAATAATATATTTTTATTAAAACGATCTTTTCAATAAATCCATTTTATTTGATTCACATCATTATTACTATTATTGTTTCAATATATACAGTAGAACTTCGTTTATCTATTGGGGGATAAGACAGTTCCGATAACCGAATTTAGAGATAACAGAAGTTCACTAACTCTAGTCCTTATTAGTCACGATAATGGGAACTAACATTCAGAAAACTGAAGTCGAGAACGTCCAGCTCCTATTATCTGAACTACGACGTTGTAGTTCGGACAATAAGAGGTCAGCTATGAGTTCGTATATTTGAAACTAACAAACTTGTATAAACACAATATAGATAAACAAAATTCTACTTAATTGTAGTTTTATACTAACCGGAAAATCCTATGAAACCTTTCGCTTTCTGTTCCTCATTTTGTGGTCCCATGATAGTACCAATTAAAAAATCAAAGATCGCACTCACAATGATGGCTATAAGGAAATTTTGTGCCTAATGAAAGAGCACAAAGTATATTAATAACAAATCAAAACAAACATCAAATTGTCATTTTTATAACGAGTTTAAAAAATTCGATATATATATAAATGAAATATTGTAATTTTAACACATCCAATACCTTTGATTCCCACTCCATACCGATTGCACAGATAAGAATCATAACGATGAGCGCTATTATACCAACAATTCTAACGTCATTCACGCTATTATCTATGATCTTCAAATTGTTCGTCTTTAACAAGTCATTAAGGGAATCACAGAAACCGATAGTATTCATAGAAGCTGCTACAGCATTTGCAAATGCAAATACGATGCCAACTGATGCGCCAAACTCGGGTCCAAGAGAACGAGATATGATGAAGTATATCCCACCTGTAGATCAATTCATTTTATTCTATCTCTAATCATCAACAATCTTCTTAATAAATAAAAGTATAGAATGTTCAACAATTGTTTAAATTATTTGAAATCAGTTTTGTGATGTCAAAAATTTGTCAGAATATTGTCAAGCTATGAATTAAAGCAGACTATTTAAAATTAGTTAAAAACAGGACTTTCCAGCACATTTACACTAAAAGATAATTTATTAAATCTATTCAATTTATATGATGATGAAAGATTAAGTTTTCCATGTCTTTACATCCAATTTTTTTTAATGACTTTGAATGTTTATTTTTAAATTAATAATTTCATCTCTAACATATTAGTAACGATTCTGTCGTATGATTCGTAATCCCTTCAATAGACAAGAAATACGATAAAATTTAGAAGAATGATAATCATGTTTTCTTGTATCAAGACAAATTGTCCTAACTAAATTGGATAAATAATTCTGATGAGAATCTTCTAGCTCAGGGAAAAACCCCGAGCGTCTAACGACACAATCATATATAGAGTGATGGTGTGCACGATGCCACTCCTTCGGAAAAAAAGAATTACAGAATGCGTTACCGTAACACACCTCCCTTTACTTCCCCATTAGTGCTAATTGCGCTGAGGCTAAGTGTCGTAATGACGCAGACGACCGCCGATATTCCGATAATGACGATAGTCTGCAGAATGCCGGCCTGCGCGACTATCCACGAAAGTCGCAGAAACAGCATGACGCCCCATATGTTCAACAGGCATGGTATAAGAACGCCTTGGATCCATCCTAATTTTATTCCAACGTGACCCTGCTGACCGACAACGCTTCCAACTTGTCCGGTTTCGACGGAATTGGCGTCCTGAAACAGCGTTTATTTAGAAGTTCAATTACTGCCTGCATTACATTTTGATATCAATCAATTTGATGGCGATGCTATACATCATCACAAATTATATAATTACGTAATTCCAATGGTTAATTCTCATACTAAATTACATTTCACAAATTACAGTATTTCATTAAGTTCATTTAGTATTATTAGCCTACAAGTATTGATAATTAAAAGTTTCAGAATCTCCACTGATTACAGAATATTAACAAATTTTGAGGATTACTTAAATTTTAGAAATACGACACGTGCTATATTGTTTTAATGATGCTTACGATAAACTGAATGGATTGAATAAAATATTATTGATTGTATAATTATGCATTAATAAGAAATGCAAAGTCTAAGTTTTAAATCTTACTTTTAAAAGAATGAATATCAAATAAGTGAATTGATTAAGCTTAAAATATGTTTATCTATAACATTTTGGAAGTATAATAAAAGTAATGTATTTTGGTAATTATTAAACTGAGTGAATGTGGATGTGTGTGTGTGTGTGTGTCTAAAAACGATGTAAATACTTTCTCATTAATATTTACGCTATAATATATTCATGAATGTACAAGGACGTATTGAGCGATAACTGAAAAAATGATAAAAACCGACCATTGCAAATTTTTACAAACTCATTTGTTCTTTAGATAACGCTACAATTGCAGTATATCGAATGTCATATGCAATGCCAACATGTTAAAAGCTAATATATTTCATTTAAAAACATTAACTATATGTTACATAAATTTATAAATATTTTTTAATTTAAATTCTTCTTATATTGGTTTCATATTTTATTTTATTTTACATTTTAAATAAAATTATTTATTTAATCGCTGCTTTTTATATATGCGATAATTACATTGTCGAATTTAAGTTTTATCTATACATTTTTTCAACTTTTTCATTTATGTTTAATAATATAAATGCTTGCAATCCCGTAACACACATACACAGCATAAAACAATCATATTTTCGTTTAATTAATAAATCTATTAACATTAATTTATAAATAATAATAATACAAAGAAATTTATAAATAAATAATAATTGATTTATTGTTATGTTATTGTATTATTACTTAGGTATCCTATATTTTCAAATGTATATGTATGATATATACCAAACTTTATATATAAATACGAAGTAATTATAAATTATAAATAATAATAAGATGTAAAATATACGCAATATGTCCTTTTTTTAGTAAACCATCTTATTTCATTAAATAATTATTGTGTATTGTACAACCAAATTCTTGAATACGTATAAGAATTCTACAGCCACATAGTACTTCTTCTAATCTTGATGAACGGATGTTTACTGCTGCGTAAACTTAATAAACTAGTTTCCCCTTGTCTAGTTTTGTTACCTTCACGACTTCGATCGTCTTTGAAATAGGGAAGAGGAATCACAATGTGAGATGATTCTTTCGTCACCCACGAAAATATCAAATACTTGCGGTATGTTCTAATATAGGAACTTCTTTTTACGTAATATATATTTTTTTAGAAATCATCGTTTTATAAATCTTATTTCATCACGACTAAAATATTGTATTTTAATATTTTGTACTATTTTGAATAAAAATTTGAAGTAATTATATTGAAACATATACCTATATGATTTTGTTAAATAATCTGATTATATAGTATAGATAAATAAGCAAAATAAATTTTATGTATTTTTTAAAAGGTAAGGCATATTTTTTATATAATAATGCTTATTTAATAATTATTAATAAAAACGGACGTTCTAAAAGTATAGCAAAATTTTGAACACGTTCTTCAAATTAAGAAAAATCAATAATTATTTAAGTCCAACTGATAAGCTATATTTAACTCAACAATAATATTGAGCTTAAAAGTTGAGATACCTACGTTCTTTAATAAAAATCGCCGTGATAACAGTTTATGAGGAAAACTCTTCGAGTATTTATCGATATGTATATCTAGTCATAACTAGAATTATCTAATAACTTTGCTTTGTACCAATTGCTACCGCTTTGCAGTAGCAATTTTATTGACGGAAAAATCTAATATATTTTTATTGTAGAAAATTTAAATATATTACACACACAAACACATATATATATATATACACACTTTATTATCAAAATTAATATATTTTTAATATATAATTAATTACACTTACTGACACACTTGTGAGTCAAGAACATTATTATTTAAAAATAATATATTTTACATTATAGATATAACATTTTAAATAAATATTGCAAAAAAATGAGACACGTAATAGAATAGATACAGCATAATAGGACATTGACACACATATCACAGAAATTCAATATTATCGATAAGAATTTAATATAAAATAACAGGTAACTACATCAAATAGGATATATATGAGAAATAGATTCCTAATAGTTTATATATTAGAGTTCATAAAAAACATATCAAATTTAGTAAGCATTTTAGATAATCTTTATATTTTTTTAGATACAATTTACGATCACTAAATCTCTTTTTACATATATATGTGAGTGAAAAATTAAATTCAATAAAATCAAAGTCGATTTTTAAATTAATTGAACAAATTGAACAACAGATAGTCTATAGGCATATTAAAAAGTTTTTTTTCTAATTTTACTTTCCATTATTGTTTCAGTTTCATTTAATGTTTAATTAACTATTCATGTTTTGTATTTGAATATACGTTATACTTTATTAATATCTTCTCGGATTTTTAATTAATATCTGAAGTTTGAGACTATCGTATACTTGTGACAAAGTATAAATGTATATAAGTTTCCTCACCTTTATGAGATTTCCTTCATGTAGAGTGCTCAGAGATGGTCTTTTCGCGCGACGGCTTAATCTATAGAAAAGAAACTGATGATATTGTAACGATAAAACTATTATTTTTTCAGCCGGCCGGATTCGTCAAATCAAATAAATTCTTTTTGGATTAAAAAAATGTACGAAAAACATCAATTTTTTATATCAAGGACATGTATGCGAAAAAAGATTAATGATTTTCCAATATTGCCTAAACGAACAAAACAAAAAAAAAACATTGTTACGTTAACGTTTCGATATTAAAGGGAAGATAGATCGAAATATGATAAATTTTATAGCAAATTTTGAAAAAACTCTAAGAGTTTTTTCTTTTTAAAATCAATATTATACAACGTAACGTATATAATACGTTATATAATATACGTTATATAATTTCCATTGTATAAAATTGATTTTAAAGCACAATTAAAAACAATATATATATATATAATTTGATATATGTATGATATACCTTAATTAACCTTTGAAGTCGAGATACTTAATCAATTAACTTATAAAAATATACCTGTAATGATCCAGCCGTGGAACTACGTCCCATAATCCGCCCATACTTAAAGACATAGAGGGCCTCTTATTACTCGGTAATTGTCCAATCACATCATCTTCTTGTGTTTTGCTCTGAAAACGATTCTCCATGTTGTCTAATCTGAAAAATTTTGCAAGCAATATTTTATTCATTTTCCGGCTGTTCTTGTATATTACGGAAATCATTATTCTTTCGCATGAATAGTTAAGTAATAAGATGATTAAATAACTAAAACGATAACAGTCGTAAAAGAAAAACAACAATTAATATAAAATAACATGTATTCCCCAATGTACACACGTGCACCTTCTGTGTGAATTGTATATACTAAAAAATATTTACTAATTCACTAAATGTAAACATATATTTATTTAATACAAAAACCATAATTTGATTTAAGTATTATTTTTTTTATTGAAAATGTTTATTTACTATTAGTAAATGTTAACACTATTAAACAAATATATTTATTAAAATTTAGTAAATTATTCTTTTTCAGCGTAATATTATATGAATTTAATATAACGCGTAGTAAAACATTCTCTTTAATATTGCGTACATTACAATTTTTGGAAGGCAACATATGTATGTGATTCAGTATTGATTGGAAGGTCTCATGGAGTGATAACGAGAACTAAGGGCAATTAAGGCTACGCAGAGGAGTATTTCGCAGAAAATACTACATTTGTAAGCAATGAGTCAGAGGTAGATTAAATGTCTGATGTATGTAGGGCTTTTATACTTTAATTAATGATACTGTATTAGGGACCGATCATGCTCAGATAATTTATCTTCCATGTTATTAGAACTATCCGGAAATCTCAGAAATAAGATAAGATACTGTCGGACAAATCTATGTTTAAAGATTTTATCACGTTTGTGAACGAGTTTGTGCATGCATCAAATGTGCAAAGAATATTATCAGTCTTACTCTCCATTCACTCTCTTCTCTCTACAGATTTATAAATAGTAATATGACTGCGTTTCGCGGTATGCAAATTTTCGAGTAATTATTTGGCCACATTCCCAAAATTCAATCGTGCGGTTCAACGTCTTGCAAATTTGAAAATTTATTAGCGATGCAGTTAAGAAATTTATAAGCAATGTTTCATGATGACTAAGAAAGTAATAACGATGAATAATAGGTTGTTGTAAAGTACCAATTTTTTTTATCACTTAAACAGGATCAATTTTCACTAATAAGTTTATTTCTCTGAAATATGAAAGTGAAAAAATAATGCGATTATGTAAGTGATGTATTTTTGAAAAACTAAAGTATTTTTATCTTTATTTTCTTTCTGCTTATCTTTTTAGTAGTTTTCGCTTTTTATAAAGCGCTAACTTTTTGCGCTATCATTTAATTTCAATACGAAGTTTTTACAATATTTTTGAAATACGAAAATGAACTACGCCTTTGGCAGGTTCTTGGTGCAACTTGATCGATACTTTTTCTAAGGTCCAAGGGCCGAGTAATTTAATAAGTGAGGAAAAAATCTATCGAAGACGTATTCTATGTTTGCTGATGTCGGAGACGCACATCTCGAACCCTATGTGATAATGCGAAATAACATGAAAGAATAACGTAAGTACAGAAAATATGTCATTCAGAAAAAGAAACGTTTTTTAAGTTTAGTATAAAATTGTTTCAGAATATTTCATCTAATTTTGTAATTTTAATTCATAATTTGAGTTTCGATGAAATAGATTTCTACGTATTTGAGTTTGCCGAAAATCGATGCCACAAAATTCGAATTGATGAATTTAATAACTTTGACAATTGTTTTCAATTATATAGATATATTACTTCAATAGATATATAATTTCATACATTATTTCGTAAAACCAATTATTCTTTCACTAATTTTGATAAAAGTGAAATCAATGTTATAATAACAAAATTTTAAGGCGACTTTTTTATAATAATGTTCTATAAATATTTCAACATTAAATATTTAAATAATTAAATAAGAAGTTAAATTTCTTTGCTAATATTAAATTCAATTTAATTCAATTTAAATTAGGCATAAAATCTCATCTGTTTTTTTTTTACGATCACCTGAAATATTTTGATATCCCAATTAAAATTATTATTATTAACAACATATTGTATATCATTAATTGTTTACCGATTATTAATATTTTAGAATATTATAGATATAAATTTGATCACAATTAAAAAAAAAAGTAGAAACCAAAAAATTTTAAGCACGTTAAATGGTTTATTATGATAGTAATTTAAAAAATAAAGGTTTTAATTAATATTATTTTCTATCGCAGATTTTTAATGAAATTGTATATTAATAAATTCGTATAGAATAGTTATTAAAAATTAAAAGAAAAATGTTACATAATATGCTTACAAAGCTATATTTAACAACAAAATTCGGATTTTTTCGCCGTTAGAATATAAAAACACCTCAAGTGACTATTCCAGGGTTAAAGAAGCTAAATCTTTTCTTATTTTTTTGTATTTAAAATTTTATATAACTCTAACTTTTATTCTTAACCACAATTATAAACGCTTTGACATTCTACTTTTATTTAAGTTTGTAACATTCGAAGAAAAAAATCTTTGATAGATTTATAATAATTTTGCACATTATTTGACAAACTATGTTAAAAACAAAAGAAAATTATAAAGAGAAAAAACACAAGGAAAAATTATTAGAGCAGACAGACAGGAATTTATAACGGGACAAAACAAATGTAACTTTTCTAATAAAGATCTCGTATAATTTTTATTTTGTGCGAACTCTTCTTATAATTCGATGCATCAGTGCATAATTACAGGTCAACGAAATGGAAAGCACAATCAACCGGTAACTCGAAATCGATGACGAGCGCCTGCAGCGCGGCATGATTCATTTGCGTGGATTTATCATCGTTTCCCGCATGCAAATGCATGTACACCCCATAATGTCAAAACAAATAAATCTACGAAACGGTTTTAATTTCTCGTACACGGGGCTTTCGTTCTCGATCTGTTTCGACAATGATGAGATGTCCATGATGTTCTTAAATGTGCCTCTCATTGACAATTACTCCCCTTATCAACTTGGCTTAGAGAAAGACTTCAATTTATCACGGTTACGCGACAGGCGAATCGCGAACAGATAATCGATCAAAATAATACGTCAATTTTGAATCCTTTCTCCCGATGATTAAATCAATCTATTTAAAAGATAATAGCTTTCTAGCGACAACACGTTTTCAACAATGAATTGTTTATGACACATGCCGTTTGTAACATATTTATCATTAATAAATATTTTCCAATATAATTGTTTTTAAAATGCAAGAAAATACTTCCTTTCTTTCGAACAAAAATCTCTATATTATTTTTTATTTACTCTTTTCTTGTTTAGATCAAATTCATTAGCTAGCTCGAAAATTAATAAAATAGTAAATTTAACTATATCACGATTACAAATAGTGCAGATTAAAAAAAAATTATATTTATATTAAATTAAAATAATTTGCTCCAATTTGTATCTACAAATTTATGTCGTATAATTGTATTATATATTATGTGTTACATTCAAAAATTTAATTTCTTTATACATATATACTAAGGCAATCGCATATTCTGTTAATCACTTATGTTAATTATATTTTCAGTTACATTTATATATTTTATAAAACATCAGTAAGACATCGATATAAAATCTAATTAGTTGAAGAAATTATAAAATTATTTAATTAAGAACATGTCAATTTACATTTAGTATCAAATAAGGCAAGATCTGAAGCAATTAAGTCAGAAATATATTTTAATTTTAAAAAGTAATGGTAATTATATATTCATACAAAATTAAATAATATAAATTATAATAAAAAATCTTTTTATTATTAAACAACAAAAAATTTAATCTTAAAAAAAGTTGTAACAATTATTGTATAAAATTTTATAAAAGTAATAAAATAAAATAAAATATATAATATATCTATAATTTAATATTCCTTTTATAACTGCAAAATGTATTTAACGAGTACAATTCACATTTTACAACAAATTTATTCAAACAGTGCTTATCAATTACTATAAGTTATGATAGAAGAAACCAAAATTGACATGGATTCCAAAATAAATGTATTTAAGCGATCAATACAATGTCTAAATTTGATCCACTTGTTGATTACATTTGATATTGAATCACAATCAAGTGATTACGAAATAATTATAGATACTGATTACAAGATAAGACATAAGTCGATGATAAAATCGTTTTTAATCACAGAATAAAATTTTAATCCTATACTCACGACGCGAGATCCAATTGGAAAGATGGAAACTTAACAATCACCCACGACTTGCAATTCACAGTATTGCTGAAACTATCCGCGAGAATCTGACACGAGGTACTGAGCGTCGAGAAAACTTGAACCCCTCATGGATCAAAATCCCCTTTTTGGGAAAGAAGCATGCGTCGAAACTTCCCTTTCCACGGCCGCTTTACGCGTAACACACACGCGCAGTTCCGAATGCGAGGCCACGCGGCGTAGCATTTTAAACAAATTGCCAATATACGGACGACCGTCTAAAATTGTTCCAATTAACGTGAAGATTCCTCCGAAGGATTAACAGAGCTATGGTGCCGCATGCGTGTCCGCGAGGCACGCGAGAACGTGCGCGCATCGATTTTTTGAGTTTGCGTGGGCGACTGCGTGCGCGTTTCGTAAACCTCGACGTGCTCGCGTAGGGAACGAGGGAAAAGGGAGAAGAAGGAAAAGAGGATAAAAGAAGTGCGTTTTCAAGAGAAACGAGCGTGATTTTCATCGCGCTTCGTAGAAATGCCACGGGCAAGAAATGCAGAGCGTCCACGACGTGAGATGAGAAGGCGTGAAGGTCGCCGTGATGGTTCACTCGCATTTCGAAATCCTTTGACGCCTCTTAATGCAGCAGTGGTGCAAAAAGAAACAAGCTTTGTGCGCGTGTGTATGCGTAAAAAGTATATAGAGTAAATTTATGTACGAACAATGAGACTCTTGAAAGAAATTGTTATAAAACAGTTCTCGAAAAAGAAATCAAACGCGTAATTAAAAAAGCTATTCACAAATATAAAAATAACATATAGTTGTGTGTTACAAAACGATAGCTCACCTTACTGTA